TATCTGTTGTTAGAGTAGTAATTAGTGTGTTTATTGGCATTCCTGACTTTTTCATATATGTGAGTGAATACTTCACAGCTACGCGTAGAGCTTCGGGTCTGGCGATTCCACAAATCTTCACTGAAAGCTTAAAACTTAAAAAGTTTGCTTTGAGATCAAAAGCCATTCTTTTATCTACTTCAACATTAGCACAAAAAACAAAGCAAAAACTTCACATCATCAAATTGGTCTTGCCTTGGATAGCTGAGTGGGTTAGTTCTCTGGCTGCAGAGTTGGATTCTCTCTAGGGAGAAGAGCCAGCCTGTGTGGCCTTGGGCAAGCTGCACAGTCCCAGAGCACACACACACCCGCCCCCCCAGAAGAAGGGAACGGTAAACCACTTCTGAGTTTTTGCTGCCTGGAAAAACTTGGAAAGGGTCACCACGAATCAGAAGTGACTTGATGGCACAGGATTATATATATATTATTGTGGGTGTGTCTACACCACACAATGATATTAGTTCCATACCACTGTAATGGTTGTGGCTTCGTTCAACAACATCTGTTGTTGTTGTTGGTTGTTTTTTTGTTTTGTTTCATTTTTTTGCTTTTGTTCACAAGGCCTGTTTGGCAGAGAATTCTAAGTATTTCACCAAACTCTTTAAGTCCCAGGGTTACACAGGTTGGATCCATGACAGTGAAACTAGTGTCAGACTGATATAAACTGTGCAATGTAGACACATAAAGATCCAGTCCCTACCTTAATAGTTAAACTTGCTGTACTTAGAGCAGGGTGTCCAGCTTGGTAGTTGCTTTCTACACATTTAAAGTGATGCGTATGCGGTGAAGACATTGGTGCTCTGTTCATAGAGAAGAATGCCAGTTTTCCAAGGTCCTTGGTTACATGTAGAGCCTGCATAGGAGCGTTAACGTTTCTGCTGCAGATTCTAGCAAGCAGTGACAGAAAACAGCACGTAGAGCCTGCATAGGAGCATTAACATTTCTGCTGCGGATTCTAGCAAGCAGTGACAGAAAACAGCATATGAGTGAATCCCCATGTTTCCTAGCTCTGTAGATGTATTCCGAGGGGGGATTCCAGAATACAGGAGGCTGGGGCTGGTTATGTGTTCGGGACCGTAAATGGTGGAAAGTACTTCTGATAAAATACCCTGTAAGTAGAAAATCAGATGCTGGGGTGCAGTGATCTCTCTTGATATTATTTTTTAAAAAAAACATGGAAAAATTTTCGCCATGTAGGAACTATTCAGTTAGGCACTCCTCTGTTTTTATCCTGATGTAGAACTTATGTAGTACAGAAAAAGTTCTGTCATCTCTGTCTGGTCTCTGAGCAGCAATTTGAAGCTTGGCTTCCCCATGCATAATGAGTACTACACCCTAGCCATTACCACCCACCCCACGGTGCTGGACTTCGAGACCTCATAATCAAGCTGTGTAGCAAATTAGTCACACCCACAATCTCTGGCTTGCCTCCTACATTCCCTGTTGTATTTTCACTGCCTCTGGCCAGACAACTGAGCAAATGTACTGTCAAAATGTGTGTATAGGATTCCCCCCCATGTGTGTGTGTGTGTGTGTGTATTCCCTGTTGTATTTTCACTGCCATTGGCAAACAAGTGAGCAAATGTACTGTCAAATGTGTATATAGGATTCCCCCCCGTGTGTGTGTGTGTGTGTGTGTGTGTGTGTGTGTTTGTGTTTGTGTGTGTGTGTGTGTGTGTGTGTGTGTGTGTGTAGGCGGGCAGTGCTGTTGTATTTCCGGACTATTGTATTTCTCTTGTTTTTAATGTCCTCTTAGAATTGCTTTTAATTACACATTTTAATATAATATTTGTTTAATTCTTTAATATTGTAAAATGTAATGTTTTTATACCATTTATACTGTGTGTTTTTGTTAAAAAAAATATTGTCAAGTTGTCT